GAAAATACTACCCAACCATTGGAAAATATTGGGTAGTCATTTAGAAACCAATTGCATATCAAAGAACCTTCCATTAGAAATATATCATATTAACACCGATAGTATTACATTTCATTGATGGGGATACAACCTTGTCTTTCCTTAATCAAATTAATCACATTCCCATAGCAAAATAATTATCTTGTTCAATCACAATTAGATCATTCCCTTGTTAAGCTAAATGAATAGAATTACGACTTAAGTCAAGTTTCACACTACTCAAGTAACCTTTTCACACCTATTCCCTGTGGGATACGACCCCAACCTTCTTCGGCTATTATATTTTACGCCGACCGCCTTACAGTATTTATTTAAAGTATAATTTGAGCGTATAAAATTTTGGCGTCGTTGCTGCGGAATACGATTTTGAAATTACCACATTTACTTTACATCTTCTTCTATTCTATCACACTTCACATGTTTTGCTTGGTGTTGATTGGAAAACGTGGCCAAATATAACGAATAAGAGAATCCTTTTGCGGACATAGATGAGTACATTGAGGATACAAATGCTATTGTACCTCCGAGAGTTGACACTGCCACTTTCAAGGTGGAACACGGATTAATCCTAATGCCCAAAGCAGAGGGGTTTTTCAAAATTTCCACCAATATGATCCGACACAACATCTAAGAAACTTCTTGGGTGTGTGTGCGATGCACCAGCAGAACAACGTCTCAGATGATGCCCTAAGATTGAGGGTGTTCAAGTACTCACTGACTGGAGAGGTGAGGAAATGGATTCAAAATCTACCACCAAATTCCATCCATTCTTAGCCCGAACTTGTCCGAGCATTCCTAGCTAAATGGGATCGATTATCTTTAGCTAAATTGCTAAATTGCTTGAAAAAGATAATTTATCCCGTATAGCAAGAAATCTGAGCTCCGGGATAAAATTATCTTTTTCAAGCAATTATCGGACGAACATCTACATGAGTCATGGGATCGATTCAAGTTATATTTGGTGAGGTCGCCAAGTCATGGTTTTCCGGATTCTATCTTGTTGGAGAAATTCTACATGGGTTTGGATGCTATGAACCAATCTATAGCCAAGAATGCAGCTGATGGACCTTTTATGGATAAAAAATTTGCGAGGATCACACAAATCCTTGACAAAATGGAAAAACATAACCAAGCTTGGAACTCAGAGGACACCACAGGGTGGAATTGCATATGGTACTCCTTCCTTGACCAACATGATTAAGGAGAACCAAGAAAGAGATCAAGTAATTGCCGGGCTTGCCACCAACGTCAATGTGTTGACAAAGATGTTCACTGAAAGCCAAACAAAAAAGGTAAATATGGTGGAAGATGATCAACCCACATCAAATGAAGATTATGAGGAAGCAAATTATGTCAACAACTCTCAAGGCGGTTATCAAGGGCAATAGTACCAAGGTTGAGGACAACAAAATCAATGGAGGGCTAACCCGCAAGTGCAAGGAAACCACAGTGGCGAAATGACCAAGGTAGTTCAAATCAAGGGAATTGGAATAACAACAACAACAACTTTTCAAATCAGAGTTCAAACCTCTATGTTCCACCAGAGGGGCAACATTCAACTCTCCGCATTGGAAGGAAGTTTCTTCAAGTGATTCCAAGTTGGAAAACATGCTTGAACGAGTATGGCTAAATCAAGACAGGTCCGATACTTCAGTGGGGAATATGATCGAGCTTGTCGGTTCTCATAGCGCATCTATTCAAAAGATGGAGATGCAAATGAGAGACTTCTCAAGATAGCAGAATCTGAAGCAAAAGGGCACACTCCCAAGTGACACAATTGCAAACCCAAAAGGTAGTGGGAGCAGTCCAACTTCTCATTGTATGGGAATCACGACTCGGAGTGGGAAAATAATTCAAGGAGTGAGCGAACAAGTGGTCACAGTGGAAGACTCCGAACAAGAAGTTGAGGTAGAAGTTGAGGTGCCAGTTGTTGTTGAAGCCAAAAAGGTCCTAGAAGAGGTGCAAATTCAAGAAGTGAGCCGGGAAGAGGTTAAGGAAAAGGTGAAAGAGACACCAAAAACTCTAGCTCCAATTCCTAGACCTCCTCCTCCTTTTCCTCAAAGACTTGCTAGGAAGGTTGATGATAGCAAACTTGAGAAGTTCTATGACATTCTCTAGAAATTATCGGTGAATATTCCATTTGGGGAAGCATTTCAAGAGATGCTGGGTTTTGCTATGTATTTCAAAGACTTGATCACCAGAATGAAGTGTTTAATGTGACTCACTGGGTTAGCTCCATCATTGCAACAACCACCGTTCAAAAGAAAGAAGATCCGGGAGGTTTTACCATTCCATGCACTATTGGGGCGCGCAATTTTGCAAGAGCTCTTTATGATAATGGGGCTAGCATCAGTTTAATGCCTCTTACTATTTACAAGCAAGCAGGCTTAGGTATGTCGAGAACTACAAGTATGAGTGCAAATAGTCGATCGTTCAATAAAGAGACTGGTGGGAATTATTGGTGATGTTCTTGTGAAAGTGGGAAAGTTCCTTCTCCCGGCCGAGTTTGTGCTCCTTGATTGTGCCGTTGACAAAGAAATCCCTATTATCTTTGAGAAACCATTTCTTGCTACCGGAAGAACACTTATGGATTCAGAACTAAATGAGATTAAGTTCCAAGTTAATGACGAAGAGGTTACCTTCCAAGCGAGCAAGGGTATGAAGTTGCCACATGCATTTGAAAGCATCTCAGTCATTGATGTTGTTGCTGAGGTGGAAGACGCAATTGAGATTAAGATGGAAGAACAATGCCTTGGTGAGGCATTGGCGGTTATTTTGGGTAAATTTTGATGCTGAAGACATGGAGGGTTACATGGAATCGGTGAATGCATTAGAATGAATTGGGTCCTACACTTATGCTCCAAAGAAGCTTTCTCTTGACGTAGAGAATACAGTCACTCCTCCCACCAAGTCTTAAATTATTGAGCCGCCGCAACTTGAGCTCGAACCACTTCCACTGCACTCGAGGTATAAATTTCTTGGCTCTAATGAACTCTACTGGTAATCGTTTCTTCTTTGTTGGATAATGTGCAGGTAGAACAACTGTTGAATGTCACAGGGAAGCTATTGGGTGGACAATAGCGGACATCCGAGGGATTCCCGCCGAAATTTGTGAACACAAGATATAATGGGAGCAAGAGAGCAAACCAAGTGTGGAGTATCAAAGAAGGTTAAACCCTTCCATGCAAGAGGTAGTAAAGAAAGAAATCATCAAATGGTTAGATGCCGGGGTGGTCTTCGCCATTGTCGATAGTTATTGGGTGAGTGTGGTACAATATGTGCCAAAGAAAGGAGGCATGACCGTGATTCAAAATTATAAAAATTAGCTCATCCCAATGAGAACAGTGTCTGTATAGAGAGTTTGCATGGATTACCGGAAGCTTTACAGTGCGACTTCTAAAGACCATTTCCCTATGTTTATTGATCAAATGCTTGAACGGCCGGGGAGGTCATTCTGTTGCTTCTTGGATGGATATTCCGGCTATAACCAAATTAACATTGCCTTGAATGATCAAGAGAAGACGATATTCACATGCCCATATAGTACTTTTGCCTTTAGCCGTATGCCATTTGCGCTATGCAACGCTCCGACTACTTTTCAACGGTACATGATGTTAATCTTCTCAGACATGGTAGAAGATTTCTTAGAGATGTTTATGGATGACTTCTCTGTAGTGGGTGATTCCTTTGAGCATTGTCTTGACAACCTTAGACAAGTTCTCAAAAGATGTGAAGAAACAAACCTTGTGCTAAACAGGGAGAAATTCCACTTCATGGTGGACGAGGGCATTTTTTTTGGCCACGAAATTTCCAAACAAGGCATAGAGGTTGACCGGGCAAAGATCAAAATTATTTCATAGCTTCCTTCGCCCACTTCAGTAAAAGGTGTCCGATGCTTTTTAGGGCACACTGGCTTCTATAAGCATTTTATCAAGCACTTCCAAAAAATTTCAAGTCCCATGTGCAAGCTCCTTGAGAAAGATGCAAAGTTTTTATTTGATGAGAAGTGTCTAAAGGCTTTTTAAGAATTGAAAGAAAAGCTCACAACGACACCTATTATTGTCACACCCGATTGGTCTCTTCCATTTGAACTCATGTGTGACGCTAGTGGTATAGCTATTTGGGTGGTGCTTGATCAACGTCACAACAAGATCCTTCACCCTGTCTACTATGCAAGCAAAACACCCAATGGCGCTCAAATGAATTACACTATGGCTGGGCAAGAACTTCTCGCCATTGTCTATGCATTTGAAAAGTTTCGGGCTTATTTGTTGGGGTCCAAAGTGATAGTTTACACTGATCATGCTGCTCTTCGCTATCTTATGGCGAAGAAGGATGCCAAACCATGATTTATACGGTGAGTCCTTTTGTTGCATGATTTTGAAGTCAAGGATTGGACAGGGACAGAAAATAAAGTTGCGGGTCACCTATCTAGGCTTGAAGAGGAAGGGAGACCAAAAGAAGACCTTGAAATCAATGATGCCTTTCCAGATGAGCACATATTGGCATTGTCTAGAACATTTGCTCCTTGGTATGGCGACAAACTCTTTGGTTAGTGGCCTTATTCCCGATGGATTTGAGACTTATCAAAAGAAGAAGTTCTTGCAAGAATGTAGGCAATACTACTGGGAGGAACCCATTTTGTTCTGAATTTGTGCCGGCAACATCATTCGGCAGTGTGTTTCGGAAGATGAGGTAATGCCAATTCTCATGGCATGCAATGATTCTCCGGTTGGGGGTCATCATGGAGGAAAACGGAGGCTACAAAGGTGCTTGAATGTGGCTACTATTGGCCATCGATCTACCAAGACGCAAATCAAATAGTCAAGGCATGCGATCAATGTCAAATGCAAGGGTCAATATCCAAAATACATGAGATGCCTATGAGTTTTGTACTGGAGGTCGAGATCTTTTATGTGTGGGGGATAGACTTTATGGGCCCTTTCGTGAGCTCTTATGGCATGACCTACATCGTGGTGGCTGTGGACTACGTCTCTAAATGGGTCGAGGCAATCGCCTTGCCCAACAATGAAGCAAGGAGTGTGGCGGCATTCTTGAAGAAAAACATATTCACGTGGTTTGGTACCCCTAGGGCCATCCTGAGTGATGGTGGTTCTCATTTCTGCAACAAGGCTTTCACTGGGCTGCTTGAAAAGTATAGCATAAAGTACAAGGTGGCCACACCTTATCATCCTCAGTCGAGTGGTCAGGTTGAAGCTTCTAACAGGGAAATCAAAACAAAGACCTAGCAAAACTGTCAATACAAACAGGACAGACTGGTCAAGGAAGCTAGATGATGCGTTGTGGGCATATTGCACAAAATTTAAGACTCCCATTGGCACTTCACCATACCGGTTGGTTTTTGGCAAAGCGTGTAACCTGCCAGTAGAGATTGAACACAAAGCCATGTGGGCATTGAAGAAGTTGAATCTTGACTGGACCGAGTCTGTTAACCTGAGAATGACACAACTCAATGAGATGGAAGAATTCCGTCTCCATTCCTATGAGAGTGCAGCCATGTACAAGGAGAGAATGAAGTTTGTCCATGATAAGAAGCTCTTGAAGCGGGAATTCAATTCTGGTGACTTGATCTTACTCTTCAATTCAAGACTCAAGTTATTTCTGGGAAAACTCAAGTCCAAATGGCCTGGCCCGTTCAAAGTTGTGAGCGTGTCCCGCTATGGTGCTATTGAACTGGATTCGGAGGATGGAACTCGAACTTTCAAGGTTAATGGTCAATGAGTCAAGCATTACCTCGGTACCATAGGAGAAAGTCATTTGATAGAACAATTTTCTCTAAAGGATAGTCCAACAGTAGCCCCCACCACTAAATAGCCCAAACAGGGTCAACTTCGTCGTGCCACGATGTTAAATCAAGCGCTTCTTGGGAGGCAACCCAAGTGTGGTAACACTCTTTTTTTACTTTTTCATTTATGTAGCTTAGTTGATAGTGTTTAGCAGGTTGACGTGTGTGTTAGAGTACAGGTAGTTCAAAATATAACGAACAGGGTGCTAGTGCTGAGGAAAATGAAAAATAGAAAATGTGGTTTGTTTTGCGGCAACTATAAGGTCGCATAATGACTTTGGGACACATGCAGAAAAACTGGCCAATTGGGTGTTCAAAAATGCGGTAAGCTTTCCACTTTTGCGCCCCGCATAACAACTTTGCGATCGCATAATGCATCGCAAAGTAAGTTTGGGTTACCTAGTCATTAGTCCATCGCACAACACATATGCGATTGCATAATGTGTTATGCGATGGACTTACATGCCGTAAACTCTACAGACCCTAACCTTTCGCATATTACACACATCCTTACTCTCATCACAAACATACACTGAAACACGATTCAAAAGCAAAAATAAAAAAATAAAAAAAAACAAGCAAGGAAAGAAAAGACCAAATGGAAAATTACTCACCAAGCAAAGAATCACACACACTCACACGAAGCATATCGGACATGCATAATTTTGCTCAACTATCTGGTATGATTCTCTTCCCTCTCTCGTGGTTGTGATTCATGCTTCTTCCTCATTTTTGAGCTCCATGGTCGTTTCCCCTGATCCCGTAGTTCCCTATGATTACAGTTAACGTTGTGGTGAGGATTTGGTTGAGTGACTGTGTGTGTTATTTCTTATGAAACAAAGTGGGACATGTCTGAGTACCTCTCTATTTTTAAATCGACTGATTAGCCTATGATCGGAATGGGGTATTAGGAATTAGTTGATTTCTAAAATCCTTTTCCCCCTTTTTTCTCTCAACACTTTGGTACGAGAATCTGGGTAGGTAATCTTAAGAAAGCATATGAGTGTGGTGTGCATAGTGAGTGAAGAAACACGTTAAAAATGAAGAAGACAATCTTAGCGGGCAGCATAATTGGTTTTCGGTCCGCAAAGTCGTCGCGAAAAGACCCCTAGGTGGTCTGCTGCAAAATGATTATGCGATCGGGTTTGCGATTACAAACCATTTTGCCGTACGCATACGTGCCGCAAACAGAGGCAGTTAATTTTCCCAACTGGTGAGATGAAATGCGACCACTTTGCGGACGCATAACGTAATATGCAGCCACTTTTGCGATCGAATAATCATTTTGGCCTTCTGGCTTTTGAAAAATTGCGATGGGTTTGCGGACCGCATAGTTGTTATGCAATCGCATAACACATCGCACAAGCTACTTTCCTCATTACTTTTGTCTCAATGTGATTCCTATGCTATTTCACCCACTCACACAATGTTTCATTAACAAGAATGGCACTAAAGAAGTCTCTTTCAACGCGATCAACGTCCGCTCATGGAAAGAAACGGGCTGCTACTCTAAGCAAACAAGCACAACAATCCCAACATCAACGGGCCTAGGCAATTCGCAACACTCCTTCCTGTCTGAAGAGGAGGAGGCACAGAGTGACCTCAGGCCATATGTTGACTACAAGCTGAGGTACGACGGAAGATGGGGGAGGATCTTCATCTCACGTTTGGAGTCACAGGCTCCATGAACCTGTACAAAGAAGAGCTAACAAAGGGAAAGATTCTCGAGGAGAAGCAGTTGAGTCTAAATGGGCTGAAGGAGCACTACCCTCACGTGATCGAGAACATTAAGAAGAGAAAATGGGAGTTTTTCACTGAGGTCCTAGATGAATATAATGAGACACTTGGAGGGGAGTTCTATGCTTCTTATGGTGCCTCAAGGAATTCCGAGCAAAAGAGAAACATGATATTTGAACATTCTGTCCAAGTTCGAGGGGTCCAAGTACTCTATGATGACGCCACTATTAATGACCTGTACTTTGAGGAGTGGCAGTCGGGCACAACTGAGTATGTAGCTAAAGTATCCAACAAGGACAACGAGCGTGGCTGGATTGCATCTGTCATAGAAAAGGGGACTGTTTACCATGAAAATGGTAACGACAATTAAATTTGTAAATGGGATTCTAAAAATACGTGATCTATTCCCGAGCTAGTTTGTAAGGGTAACTAATGCTAAGGCGTGAAGTAAAACGGTAAAGATCGGGCTAATCAAAGCGATAACCGAACCAGTAATGGGACGTTCCCGGGCGTAATGCAAGCCAGTAGGTACCTCGAAGCCAGGCCTCGAGCCTATCTCGGGCTTATAGAGGGTAGGGGGGAAGGGGATAAATATAAAGATATAAGTAAGTAAGGCTCTATACTATCAATCTTGAGCTAAATGATGAAGAACAAACGAAGAAATAATAAAATGCTAAGACGACCTCGGGGTCGATGAAGACTTATAATTTAGGAGAAAGAGAGAGAGAGAGATATTATTGCATTGTGGAGAAGTGGAGCAACATCAGCCCTTTTACAAGGTAGGGTGAGTCCCCCTTATATAGGCGAGGGGACTCGATAAAGAAAATATATATTAATTGCAAGGGTACAAAGATGGGACGGCCTGATGCAAGTCCTCTCAGTAGTCTCTTAGATAGGCCAGACCCGTCAGGTGTAGCCATGTGCTTAGGAGACTTCCTTTCTTATCCTGACCTCGGACCCTGCTTCTTTCGATTAGGACCTCGACGAGCCCTGAGGCCGAGAACTCGACCATGGCCTCCTACCCTCGGGGTCTCAAGGAAGGCTTCCAAAATGTCTTGATAGCAAAAAATCAAGTCTTCTGATTTTACCGCATACAGATAGTCTCCGTGTTTCTCATGACGAAGTGATGGGAAATGATTCTGACACTCGACTCCTTGAGCTCCTTTTGACGACGCTATAATGGCGATTCAGATCGCGGCGCAATCTTCCGAGACAGATGGCGTGTCTCATAGATCTCCGCTCGATGTCCTGTCGTTTCTGCTCCTCGAGGCAAAAGTGCTGTCGTTGGTTCATTTTTTCAAGGAGGTAGTAATTACACCCGTCGATCAATCTTTCAGAGCATCGATAACCGTGTCGTTTCCCCCCTATAAATGAGGGTGTTTTGTGGCATTGCATCCTTCATCTCAATACTTCTGCTGGTATGCTTTGCTTCTTCCTTCCCATCTTCTTTTACCTTTGATTATCACGATGGACTCTTTCTATCTCAATGCTGTTTAGAGGAGATCTTCCGGGCCGCGTCGAGGCCTTCTGCCGGGGCCTCCCTTCGTTCAGCATAAACATGCTGTCCAGATATTGCCGCGGTCGTCGGCATGTAGGCCGCTGCTGCTGCCATCAGCCTGAGATGGCGATGAGTGGAGAGTTGGTTTCACCTTTGTGTAGATGGCCATTCGGATTATGCACCGCTGCTCAAAAGGGGGCTCGGAATATCCACCGCTGCTCACCTTCATACCCCGGGTTGACGTGGAACTCCGCCCCGAGCCGGGAGCTTGCACGGCTTGACGCTCGAAGAAGTGTATTTGAAGTAGCCATGCAAGCAGGTCCGAGGATTGTTCGTCCTGCTGTCTCTCCGAAGCTTCCTTCGCCAAAGAGGATCCTTGAGATTCGGAGAGCTGTGGCGCTTCGTCGTCCCTTCCTGCTCCCTGGTTGCTCTTCATTGGCCACGTCAAAGTGGACAGCTGAGAAAGGGCTTCTAGAGGTGATCCTGGAGATACTTCCTTCGAGAGTAGAGTAGGTCCGAGGCCCTTTCTTCATGTATTCTCTTTTGTCTTATCTGGTTGGGAACCCTTTGTAAGCTTTTGTACTTCATATGTGATGACCCTCCGAGGTTTTGTAATCGAACGTCGTGACCCCTCTAGGGCTGTTGTACTTGAAAACTTCATAAATGAGAAATGAACTTTGTTGACCTCTGCTTCCGAACTTGCTTTGTCTCTGTATGCTTTCATGCCTTTCGAGGCCCTTCGAACGTATCCTTTTGTGTTGCTGATCGCTGATTTTTAATTTGGGCGTGAGGGTTTGCTTTGATTTCTTGCCGATCGACATGGGCTCTTTTCGGTCCCATCGTCGTCCTTTGGGACAACTCTGGATCAATCTGACAGATTGATGCTGTGAGAGTCTCCCGAGCTATTCGGAGACCACGCGTTGAGTTCCGAGGTCTCCGGGGGTACTACTCCGGATGTAGGTCGTCTTCGGGTACCCCGGAGCCCTAATTGATCTGGATGTGGACGGTCTTTTCAGGCCGCATGAGATAGACTTTTGCTTCCCCTTTGGCGCTTGCTTGCTTCTACGCCCTTCGGGATTTTTGAATGCCTTCTTTTGTTTATGGGCCGTTGTAGCTTGCCGTGATAGCTCGTTCTGGTCTCCAGCTGATTGGCAAGGCTCTTTCCCACTTTCTTTTTGTCGTACTTTGGGTTGATAGAGGACCGACCGGATAAGCTTGAGTCGTCGGGGCCTGCAGGATCATTTGGGGATCTTGTATCAAATTTCGAGGCCTTCGGGAACGATACCCCGGATGAAGGTCATCCCTGGGTGCCTCGGTGGGCCCTGTTGATTTTTATGTGGATAACTCTTTCAAAGAGTGTAAGGTTGGCTTCCGTTCGAGGGGTTTGCCTATGTGCGGGGCGCTTCTTTGGGGCCTCGTGGAGCTTTGGAGATCGGAGCTTCCGGGGTTTACTCCTTCGGAGTGGGAAATGCGAGCCCAGATGCGTGCCTCGCATCTGGCATCGGTGCTATGGAGCTCATCGTGACCCTGCTTCTTGGCGGCCGGGGGTTCAAAATGTGAAATGCTGCCTGGAGTGTGGAGATAATTTGCGTGGATCCTCGAGCTTAGTCGTCTGTTGGAGGATGTTTCCTGGGTCGGGTATTGACCCGTCGATTCGTATCGAGGCCATTGGCTTCCTGGAGCTTACATCTGGCAGGTGAC